TTTAATTCCTTAATGTTTTTAATCTTTACGAAAATTTAAAAGAAAAGGAGTATTGCTTTTTCCATTGCATTGATTATTAATACAACAATTATACTTTTAAAGAAATAAAATAAAAGAGAGCTTATTATGTATCGATGACATTAAACTTTCTACTTATTAAATAAATAAATTAAAATCTAAAAGAAATAATATTATAGATTTACATATATTTGATTTGTACTCTTTTTTTCCCCTTAAAATAATGAAATACATAAATTTTGATATAATGAACTTTTAAAACATCACTTCGACACTTTATTATATTCGAATTTCCTTACCTGTAATGATGGATAAGGATAGTATAAATGATAAATTGATAGGGAAGAGAAGTTATCAGGAGGGAATGATGCACACATATAATGATAGTGCCAATCTAATGTTAATGAAGAAAATGCTCAAAATGAAATAGCCACTTCAAAAATGAGCAAATTTTTGAGAATATTAAGTGAAACTACGAATATTTATTTACGATGAATTATTCGTGAAGAATCTGAAGAGCAATATAAATGCGCAATAATTTTAACAATATCGAATATGCATAAACACACATAAAGGAAAGGAATGAGGGGAAAAGTTCATTGCAATCAATTCATTTCTTTTAAACAAATTAATTTCAGATGTATTCTTCTTTCGCGTCCTATTTTTTGAAAAGATGACCAAGATATAAGAAATAATTCGAAAGTTTCGCAGATTCCTATTCGGAATAAAAATTTTGCAGTGAATATAATGTTACAGTATTTGACAGGACTTGATAAAAAACAGGTGGAACTGTATTGTAGAACAGTAGTAAATATATAAAATTAAGTTACCTTTTAATGAGTTAGTCAAAAAAGGAAAGCTTTTTGTAATTAATGCAAAAACTAATTCCACCTATCTGTTTGGATTTATTTAACATTCCTGCTCGATTAATATCATATCATTTTTGATGACGAATGACAAAAATACTATGATATACTTATGATGGCTAGCATGGTAAACCACCAGACTAATAAGACAACTATATACTTACTTCGGCTATCTAAAAAGCAAAGAAAAACCAGATATATCTGGAAAATTTTAATATCCGGAATATTTCCATTCACTGTCACATATGAACTCACCCCATCAAACATTGTCATCCATATTTGACAGTAATTATTATAACAGATAAAAGATTGCATAGATAAAGCAATATTATAGAAAAAAAAGTGACAGTAATATACAAAAGCAATACGCCAATATATGAAGCATTGAGACACAACACAAAGAATCAATAATAACTATTGCCTTTCGAGAAAAAAAAAAACCGATGTCCCGTCTAGTTATATATAGGTGAACATCTGCTAACGAAACACCTGCTAACAACTTTACAGTATCCAGCAGTGTCATTTTCTGTTCCTGTATTCAACTATCAGATGCTGGCAATAGTATTTAAGTATTGAGGAATAGGGAAGAGAATATGTTATGAGAAGGCAAACGATGCATATATAGCATTTATGAAATAGAATTTAGAAATGAATCAATCAATCTTTAATAAGTCCAAATAATCTAGTGCTTGAAAAAAAGAAAAAGAGTGAAGCGGTAAGTTCTAGCTAGTAAAATGTGAAACTTTTTTTTCCTTTGAAATTCAAAGAAAACTAACTCAAGCGCAAGTCACAAGTAACTGGCTTTTTTTTTATTGAGATGATGTGAAGACATATACACGAGACGTTCGTTTAATTAAAACTTGTCGTTGCTGGAAACAAAATTCATTTCACCACATTAATTCGGGCCTCAAGTTTATACAACAGTAGTATCTTGAAAATCGATATATGTTTCAGCAAGGAACTGATCCATTAGTAGTTATGATTATTTGTCGATAAAAAAGTGACACATTCTTACAAATCACACTCATTCTGATACAGGATATCGTGGAAATTTTCGTTTCTCTAATTACGGCACTGAGTTAAAGTAATGAGAAAGCTAACAGTTGAGAAAAAAATACGTCAGTAAATAAGGGAATGAAATCACGAAGAAATAAAACGAATCAACAATTAAAAAGATTGAAATTCAACGTTGTATTTTGTAGGATGAATCATCGGAAATTAAATATCGTAAAAACAAATCAGTAAAGCAACAATGATGATTACGAAATTATAATTATCTTTTTTCTCTCCCTTCCTTGCAATAAGATTAGCATCTTCACTTGCACCGTCTAAAATCGGCTAATACTTACAAGATCGAATTAGAAATGGGACAAAATAAGTACAACTAGAAAACCGATTACTGGTAGTCAATCTAATAATTAAGATTAACTTATTTTCTCAAATACAACCAATAATGTAACCATAGCGCATTTAATTCTTACCTATAGACTGTTCAGGATTTCTAACTTACAAAAGCAATTTGTTTTAAATTTTTCTAAAGAAAATTTCTTTGTTGTATGGATCAAAAGAATTATTAGAAAAACCAGAGAATTATCAAGAATTATCCAAACTTTGGTCACCAGACTTAAACCTCCATTAGAACAACAATTACAGAACATATCATCAAGCACACAGTTTTCTTCAAAAGCTCTGAAAATTGAGCATATGAGCTTAAAAGTAATAATACCTTTATTTTATTGTGTGATGATGAAATTACAAGAAAATAAGGCTAATATAGAAACAGTACGCAGAGGTATTCAGTCTATTAATGGAAAGCTTCCTTATTCGCTTAAAAATGAAAGCACTCACACAATAATACATTTAGTCTGCATCTTTGATTCACTAACTCAAATATCCAACTATTTCTGCCCTGATCTAACATCCTAAAAACAAAAACCATTCTTAAAAGAACGATGCAAAAATCAGTCGCGTACAACCGATATCAATGATACTTCCGTGATGCAGGTACGCAATTTCATGACTGTAGTTCGCACTGCTGGAGGCTGTACATGAACAAAGAAGAATATTCGTAGTGCAATCATCACTATTTCTGTACGTTATTCCATTAACACGAAAACGATCGCCATGCTTCAGAAGGAGTTCAAATCGTCGAGAAACCTTTAAAAAAAAATGAAAACATAGCGTCCTTTGATTACTAGATTGGTCTTGATCACAGTTTCATCAGCTTTTTTTTCTGCTAGAAAATCCGGGAATTCTGAAAAATCGAAAAAAGAAATTCTGGAAAACTATTCAATTCGTTCATTCGCTAAAGAAATCTACAAGGGATTTATATCTGCGTGACTTCTGGACACACCTATTAAATCCAACAATATCGACAAATATTTTGGTCTGCCAAACGATAGACTAATTTATTTGTCGCATTTTGAGCTGATTTGAAATCCTAAATTTTTTCAACAAGAGATTTAGCCTTACAAAAATCCAATGGCAACGGTCTGAGTCAAGAGAATGCGAATAAACAAACAAGTGCAACACAAGTCATTGAACTCAAATCTTTAAGTAAATAAACAAACTTAACAATAAACTACACCGAAAAGAAAATGATATCATAGCGAAATGATAAAAGAACTTACTTTATTAAATAGTAATACAGCATGACGTCCAGCGATTGCACGACAAAGCGGTGCAACTTTTCTGAGATTGAAATCGCAAGATGAGTCGGTGCCTATAGTTGTTTTCACTTGTTGTATAGGGTAAGCATCCATGCCACTGGCTTTTAATACAGCTAGCACTGGCATATCATTATGTAAAATTTCTGCAACGAAGGAAATTAGAAAAAATTTGATTTAAAATTTTCACTTAAAAGATTTGAGCAAAGTATCATCTTAATGGAGGCAAAGCATACTTTTAAAAATATGAGTCAAAGACAGCGATACCCGTCGACATCGAAATATATATATATATATATATATATATGTATATACCTTGTCCACTAATAAACATGAAAGTATCCGGAAGGCTAACTTTTTTCAAATTTCAACTCCGTAATATTGCGAGAACTTTCCGCGGCACATAGTAACTGCTCCAGTCTTTGACAAGCAAGAGAACCAATAATGCGATATTCCACACTCTGCGAATTTTCCATCAACGACAGGCAGCCGCGTCGAATGCGTTTTAACAACGATGGTTCTATGAAATTCGCCTGAAAAGATAGGAAAATGAATAGCGGGACTTAACTGTAAATTTTGGAAACCAAAAATATTTCTTATATTTAAAAAATAAATTTCAATTCAAACTGTTACCAAACCATAACATTGCATATGAACATCGTTTTGTGATTTTGATTGATGCTGCTGCTCCGTCTCTCCAGCTTCCACAATCAATACTTCTCTTGTGATATCCGGCATTTTCTCCGAAGCATTTTCATCCTGCTTTTCACTCAAATCGGCTCTTGAATCTCTGGATAAATCTAGTTCAACCTGCATTTTCTGCATACGCACAATATTTTCAAACCATAAATCTTGCTCCTTTTCACTCGGTAACTCATCTTTTTTCCACCGGTTCCATCGTGTTTCATACAATTTCTTGATGCAGTCAGGAACGGAAAAATATGGACCATTTCTCTAAAAATTGAAACTGAATATAGAAATTATTAATTTATTGGATAATTAGTTAAGCTAAATGTTATAATAAAAAGTATGCTGGATTTCTTTCAAAAAGGAAACTAACATAGGAGTCTATGTCCAACACGTTATTACGATTCTGATATCCCGTTTGGTTGACAGAAATCGGTAACTCTTATTCATTAATTAACATGAGAAAATCGATCAATAAATGTTGGTAGTTAAGAAAAAGCCCAAAAAAACAACTCGTAGTGAAGGATTTTCGTAGCGAAGGACTCGTAGTGAAAGGAAGGATTTTTGTTAAAATTATTAGTGGAAATTATTAGTGCAAATAAAAATAAGCTGTTAATACTAAAAATTATTTTGAAGATGGAAAAAAACAAATTTCAGAAAATAACATTATGAATAAGATAATAATACAGTGGATCAACCAACCCTAGCAGTAACATCCCCCATCACTTCAACAGCAGCTTCTCGTTCCAGACGAGTTTTTTTTGAGGAATGAAATTTTGATTAAATGTTCATCAACCGGCTGTCTAGCATACTTCCGCCAGATAAGTAATCGTTTACGCAAAGAAAGTGTTTTTGCTAATTTTCGATCCTGGAATATTGCTGACATATGAATATTTGAACTTATTAAACCATAATAGAGAATTGTTTTGTTTTCACCGTGACACTAGAAAATATTTTAAAAAATTTTTGGAAGTTTTTTACTGAAAAAATTCAATTGACTCCGCCTTCTTATTATGAAATAAACAAAAAGCATAATTCACGATTCTTGAAAACTTCTGAAAAATTTTAACTTTTTGACGGTGTTTTTCCCTTTTTTTTTCTCAAACATGGGTATATTTCTAACGTAAACTTAAAGAATGAAACAATAGTGATAAAACCATTTCTAACAAACAGTGGTAATCAGCTGTCAAATATTTGTATATACATATACATATATATATATATATATATATAATTTATCTAACCAAAATATGTTCCACATGAGCTGGACACATCCATTTATCTTTCGGTACTGAAGGAAGAGGAGGTGTAAGGCAATCAAGATGATAGCAGAGTGAACAAAAATCACACTGAATAATTGTCGACTTTTCATTTCTCCTGAAATTAAGCAAAACATATCAAATCAGCAAATGAAAGGAACGATTTTGATTTATTACAAGAACTGAAATGGTATTAAAGAATGAATGTGGACATAAACAGCGAAGTTTCTTACAGATGTATAAAAGGAAGTTAATTATACCACAGTTATTTCCATCCAATTCACCTCATGGTCAGTTTTAAACTAAATTTGTTTGGTTTTAGTTAACCTAAAGGGCATAATTTTTGCCTGTTTACTTGAACTTCTTGATCTTGGAACATCTTTTGCTACTTCTGTAAAATCATATCTAGAGAAACTGTTTTTCATTTAGCTCCATCATGATGGAGGAAGAAGAGTTCTTTGAAGTTTTTGTAGCAATTGTAGGACGCCAGCAATCACCATTTTCTTTTAAAAGCCTGCAAAAATATCAACTAACGATGCACAAAGATGACAGATTGCTTTCGGCGGCGGCACTAATTGTGTGGATGTTAACCGCTCATCAAACGGTAAAGGTGGAATTTCACAAGATAAATCATGCGGTAAGGAGAACTGTTCAGCATTTGCAGCCAAAGCTGCATCAGCTAGTACTGCTAATGCACTAAGGCTACGGTCTGCACTTTGTTCCTTAATACCAGAAATCGCATGACTTCGGCGTACATCCAATGAGGAGTGCTCAACATCCTATAAAAGAAGGAAAATACAAGCTGATGGAATATCATTTTAGTTTGGAACAAAAAAGAAAATCCGCAGAGACTGGTCCGTAAAGTCCTTTCTGTACCTACTGGGTGCTATAAAAGAAACAAGTATAATTGGAGTTCTCAATTAATTGGAGTTCCGACAAATTTGTGCATTAAAAACACACATTAACAACCGAAAAAATAGCGGACAATACCACAGATTTTGATTTCGTTTGATTTCATATTACTAACTATCAATAGATTTTGACTTGGTTTGGTTTCGTGTTACTAAATATCAATATGTCATTTGTTTTTGGAAGCTGATAATCAGCAATATTAGGGCGTAGAGAAATGAAAATATGACATGCATATAGAAATAAAAAGTTTGAAGTAACGCGCATTTTCCTACCTAAATGTCATAATCTGAATCAAATGTTTGTTTATTCAAGGAAATTACAGTGCAAAAGAGAAGCTGGAGTCCTGACAAATCACTACGAGATAATTCCACAAATCAATCACTACCTCTCCAATTTCTGAGGATGTATGTAAACAAGCATCTGATTCAGACTTTGACATTTAAATATCTGTACAAAATTTCTTAGAAGATCCAGCGACTGATTTAGAGGAAATTTCGCTACTAATAATGTGATGAATACTCACTCTGTGTAATTTTCAGACACATCAGATGCCAAGTTCGTCATGGGTAAACATTAAATTTAATTGGGATAAAGAAATCTGTTAGTAACTTAATGTAGTATATTTGTACAAAGTATTGTACAGAATGCATTATAAGGTTAAACCTCCCGAAAAGTTAAAAACATCAATTTACCAATTTCGGTACTTTTTTGATTATCTTTGGACTGGTATCATGTGCCACTGCATGCATACAACGATTACATAGCCATTTTCCACTTGGGATAGAACTTCGTTCAATAGGTGGTTCGTGACACATTAAATGGAATGATGCTGGGCAACGATCACAGCATAAAAGCTCACCACCTTCCTGCAAATTCCGTACAAATGATAATGTTGATATTTCACGAAAGAGCAATCACTTGGGGTCTTGAAAATGCTGTCAAAATCTAAACTTTCATCAGGATAACTAATGTTGCTGACTTTCAAACTCAACCTCAAACTTTTAAATTTAAATAAGGAACTAACTTCCACCATACATTCTCAGGAAAATCGGAGTTTAAAAAAATTAAAATTACCATGCAGGCACTGCAGTACTGCGAATTTATTGATTTCCAACGTCGAGCTGGTTTTTCTTTTATCACCGATGACACCTTCTTTGTTTTGCTACTTGTTGTTGGACATGCGGTACAAGCCTCGATATACTGCAACGGACAAAACAAATAATGATAGATTATACTCTTTATTATCCTTCAGATCAAAAAACTACCTTGATAAGATCATTTTTCATTTATTTTTTCCTTGGTTTAAGTTGTTGCTTAATTCTTGTAACCCTGAGACAGACTGGACTAATCTATTTTTCGAAATGCATATAGTTGCTATCCCATTCATTCAGCAGTTCCATATATCAATCATAATTTATACATTTATCATAACGATTATTCTCCAATTATATAACTAAATTAATACTATAAATGCATATTCAACATTCCTTGACATGGAAATTCGATATGGAATGTTGAATTTTATTCTACCTGCCAGAATAATTGATCACTTCTATTTCTCAACTAAACAGTGCCAAAATCCGATTAATTCTCCGGCTTATATATGCACAGGTAAACACCACGTCACACCACACACACACATTTACAAATACACACAGACGCACATACACACACACTCACATACACACGCACACACGCATACACACACACGTACATACATACACATGCACATACATACACACGCACATACACATACAACACACGCACACATACAAACACATCGGGATAAATATGCAAATAACATATATAAATATGAAAAAAACAACATTTTAAACATCTCAAAAACATCAAAATCAGTTCGCGAGATAAATATGCCAAAAGAAAGAAGTAATTAAGAATCGAAGTTGAAAAGTACCTGAAATTTATTGAAGAGATAAATGAAAAAAAAGATCTAAAATACCTCGAGAAGGCCAGTATCCTGATCAAATACAGGATCGCTGTCATCTTTCGTCTCGTTGTCCATAAAACTGCAATGAACAACACCTTATATGTGGTGCGGTAAACCTAAAAAAGTAAAACAGCAGATCATTGTGTAAATATGAATGTACGACATTTCGATAAAAATTTTCGAACCCATATTTTCCTTTTCTTTCCGATAGATATTATTGGATAAGAGTTATCAAATTATGCTGATAGAAAGTTAAGCTTATCAATCATTCTTCAGACTGGGAATCCGAAATCATCACATTACTAGACAGATTAGTTAATGGAAATCGAACTTTCTTGACAGAAAATTAATAAAATCACAAAATATGTCGCTTTATTTTCTCTCAATCATCCTTATCATTCTTCTATAATATTTCGTCATTCGCAATCTAATCATTGTTTCGTCCTTTGATTCTATTACTATTAGAAGACTGCTCTTCTTTTGCTTTCCCATACTCTAAACTCCTCAACACTTTTTCTCAGCCTTACTGTTCTTCGATATATTTAAAGTAATTCCGGTAAAGGACTAAATCAGACTTGTAACAATATTCCGAATCCTGAAACAACTCCTTCCCTACCGTTAATCAAAAAACGAAATATCGTGTACTAAATTGGTTGTCGAACTACCTTTGTCGCAACTCGTACACCGACCTGTCAACTAGAGTAGTTCGGTTACCTTTTTCGGTGACGATGTCTGGGAATTTGGAAGATTTCTTGGTTTGAACTTTGAAATTGTTACATAATCCATCCAAAATTATGAAGGGGTTTTAGAATTTCGACCAGGAAATTACTGGGATCTTATGAATTTTTTGTTAAAAGATTCCCGGTTTCTTGAAGACTTTTGAAAATTCGGTGTGAGAATTCTTTCACAATCGTTTCAGGTGTTTTTTTTTTTTAAATGTTCTTTTTTTTTTCGTAGCTCTTAACAGGAAATCTCATGAATCTTCAGTTGACCTTGAACGTTTTTCAGCATCACTGATGAAATTAAGTTTCCCGTATTCCATCCCTTGCATTTTCGACCTCCATCTTCAAAGTTTATACATATTCCTCCAACAACGATGATTTCATTTTAAATTATACATGCCATCTTATGAATTTCATTCTCCACTTCCACTCACTCCTTCATATTCTAATGTAAATCCTTTTAAAACCAAACATAATTGTGTTGAAATTGCCACAACTGTTGCAGTTTTCCCAAATTTTCAGAAAATTTTTGGGACATATTTGAAATGATATAGATGAATTGTCTTTTTCTGCTTTTATTATATATTGGTATCAATGTAAACATCAATTCGCCGTTGATATGCAGTATGTCCGCTACGAATGAAGAGGAACACTGTTCCGCTCTGGTACCGTATGCAAAACCTATGATACTGCAAGAATTCTCTAGTGATCACAGAATGGTAACAATCAGTGGCCGAACATTTCAATTACGTCAAGATTGGCAACGAAATGGTGTCGCTGGAGTGATTTGGGATTCGGTATGATTCTGTAATGGTAATTACACTGTACTTATTGGTGGTATTAATATAATACATAATAATACGGTAGGGTACGGCAACGCCTTAGTTGGACGATACATTTGACCACTTCTACTGCAGTTAAAGATTATCGGTTTGCTATTTTTTCGGTATGCGTATGATTAGATAAAACGGACTTGTACATAACAAAGTCACATGACAAAATCTTTTCCTTCTTTTAAATTCAACAGTAAGTAAAAGTTATGATGTGCCTTTTTTTTGGTCGCATTTAATTCTGATCCCTGTAACTATGTAGAATCTTCGCTAAATTGTCAACTTTATAGTAAGACTTCCACAGTTCGAGTATCATCTTCTATCCTGGCTCAAGTATAATTGTGCTTGAATCTCCCATTTGTACTTTCCACACTTAAAAAATGTTTTTTTCAAGAGCATCGCCTTGGCTCGGTACATTTCGGAACATCCAGAATTGGTAATGAATCGGACGGTACTGGAACTCGGTGCGGGATTGGGTTTACCAAGTATCGTCTCAACCTATCAAGATGCTATGCTTATCCATGTGACGGATCGAGCAAGTACTATAAGTTTACTGGAAGAGAATGTTCGTCAGAATGCAAAGAACGATTGTGACATAGAAATTTTCGCATTTGATTGGAACGTTGACAAATTATCGCAGAAATATCAGGTATGTAATTCCTTGCAGAACAGTGAACAAAGGAAGACTTAGGAAACAGCTCATTCAGAAAATAGCTCATTCTTTGTCCCTTGATTCATCTGAAGCTGATGACTTTATTAAGGAGATGTTTACGCACGGCATGAAAATTGTTTGGGAAATCTATTCAAGATGTAGACCGCTAAATATGCCTCCAAAATTTGAATGTCGAGATAGTGCATCGTAATATGAGGAACTTTTAGGTGATTAATTGGGGAATTTTTATGGCGAAAAACAGTGAATATTATAGTAAAAATTTTTATTCTGTAAATTCCCGAAATCTTATGGATGCATACTGTGAATTGTTCAGGTACTTTTCAGGTTATTCTAGGAGCTGATCTTATCTACGGTGGCATTAGATTTGAACCGTTGATGAAATTGTTTTGGGATGCTAGTGACCACGATACGACCATATATTTGTGCAGTAAAATACGTTATCAAAGAGATCAAGATTTTTATGATCAACTTGTACAGGAACAGTTTGATGTTCGGAAAATTTTCTATGAAACTGAGTTTTCTGTAAACATTTTTGAAATTAAAAAACTGGCAAATTATTAGAACACAGTAATGTACGAAGTACTCACTCTTGTTTATTCATTTTCTTGAATTCCTTAATGAGGAAAAAATTTCCACAATTGATACTGTTACCCTAATCATGCGGAGCTTAGAACTTGGCTATCGTGAGGAAAGCTTTAAACCGAGAAATAATATCGATTGGTCATTAATCTTTACTCAACACCCGCTTCCAAACTGCTTACTGATTTGAACTAGTTATAGTGTTTTAGATGTTGATGTAGCTTATCTAGCTCAATTTCCGATTTTTTCGATTTCCGATGAGCGATTTATCATTATTCACCATTACACATCACTTTCTATTAAATATACCTAACAATCCCAAACTATTTATGATTTTTGGGACCAACACAAATTAGCTTCAGTAATCAGTTCCTTTCCTTCTCGATGTAATGAATTCGCGCAAGGCATTCAGCAGCAATAGAAATTTCATATTGTTTCATGAAATTTAAACAGTTATTACAAATCTCACTGCTTTCCATTTGACAAGAACAACTTGTCCGGATTGCTGTTCGCATGAATTCTAAACAGTTACCATCCTTTTTGCACTCCGGAAATGACCGATGTCGTGGACAAACCCAGCATTCGTTCACTTCATTTCCTCGGTCCTTTATAATAAGTTGAAGTAATGAACTGAGTTGCGCTAGGTTCACCCGAATATCTGCAGCCAATATTTTCTGCAAAAAAAGTAATCATATGCTGGCCAAAATAGAGTGTTAATAAGGAGAACTTGTTGCAATTCCCTGAAAAATCACAACAACCCAACCTACTTGTAATTTCTTGAAACATTTTTGTCCATAGAAAAATAATGAAATCTTTGCATTTACATTTTGGAATGGAATAACAGATCTTGATAAAAGTTTTTCAAAGTTTCCGAATTCTATTTTTTTTACAATTAAATGATCGAATGGCTATTAAATATCCCGGTGCTTCTACAAAGCGCGTCTAGACCACTACGAAGAATCACCTATAAAACTACACATTAGATGATTACCTCGCAGTAGCTGTTGTATTCCTCGGATGAGAAACAAGATCTACAATCGGCTAATTCCCTGTCTATATCCATCAGACGTTTGATTATCAGTTCAACAATTAAATCCACATTACTTGCATTAACAAAGTTATGGTTGATGGAAACTGTATCTTCCTAAATTTCGAGAATTTTGTCTGTAATATCTAGTCTCGCAGAATTCTCACAAAATGTAACTTGAGAAACTTGCCGCAGCCTTGCGACCATAATAATGGATTTGGTTAAAGCGCGAAGCGACATATTTCTAAAAGCTCTAAGTCGAGAATGTATAGTAGAATTTGATCGTTGGTGATTATGCAGTCCAAACCATTGATAAACAGCACCACTGGAAGGGAGGGAAGAAACAGTGTGGTAATCAGCATCTTAAATTTCGGAAATCGACCAAGGCCGGATATAATTACCCAGTCATCCATTAAACATTCTTTCAAAATTGTATTCTTTGGATTTGCATTCAAACTTTTCTGTAAGTCTTAATTTGCTGACTTGTAAAAAAAGCCTGACCAAATTATGTACTTGATGATACCAATTGGAAGGAACGAAAACAATTTCCCCTTCTTCTTGGATGAATGATATGACAGTAGCTTTAGGCCATTTATCTTGAACCGTTCGAATATCTTCTAAAAATGTGTCACGATCAATTCTAAAGCATTCTTCCCTGTTCGGTGGTACAAAATACCAAAGCTTTCGTCCGCAAATATTGGCCGACCAACTATATGAACTCATCACATCGGCATGAAATGGTGTCCTACAATAATATACTTTCAATGTTTCACACTGTAGACTTTAACAGAATTAAAAAATCATTTTCGAAAATGATTTCTGAACTTTAACATTACTTTTAAAATTCACTAATTTACCTAAAATGTCATTCGAAATTTGTTCGTCTTTTTGATTTTTTCTTTACATGTATTTCCCTGTATTTTTAATTTTTAATTCATTCATTTTCTTTTACAATATTTCTCAACTTTTTTTTACGAAAAGTAAAAAAAGTTCTCCGAACTTTCTCCATCTCTTTTAGTTTTCGCAAAGTTCTCATCTTTCTATATTTCATCTTACTATTTGCTTATCGATTTTCCAACCTTAAATGTGTATGATCGCACTAGTTTAAACTGTCAATTTTTTAAAAAAAATGTCATATTACAGAAAGTTTATAAGCGAATTCTGACAATAGCTGAGATGAATGCCTATTCTTACTAACTTTTATTAACTTTCTAACTTCTTTCATTAATTTTTTTCACTAACCCTTTAATCTTCCAAGAGTAAAAATTAAAAATAACTTTTAATTTTTCAACTTTATTAACTTCCTTTTTTTTGAAGTAACTCATGAATAGATCTGGACAAAGATCTACTCCATACAAAACTTACTTACTTGATAATCTATTCTAATAAAGCCTAACAAACCAAGTATTCTTGGCTCCGAAATAAACGAAGCGATAGTCGCCTAGTTGATTACGCTCATCATTTGACCATAGTTCATTGTTTATCCAATCAAAACGTAAAACAGATGGTAATCCATACATTTCGTAGGATGTCCCCGATTCTCTGCAAACGACAGATCAGTAAGAAATCAGAATTTCTAAAGAAAAATTCATGAAAGCTCACTAAACCATTAATAACTTACTGCTGAAAATGCCAATCTTTGACATAGCCAATATTATTTGACCCATTATTCTTTCGCATTATCTCAATATAATCCTTAAGCTTCATTTTCTGACATTTCATAAAGTTTAGGGAACATGAAGATGAGGACTTTTCCTCATAATCCATACATTTTTCACGATTTTCCATTATCTTATCAATTCTTTCTTTGACCAATGGTACTTCCATATGCCCTATAATACGAATAACAATACTTATCTTGATAGTAAGAAAGAAGGAATGCTTTACGAAACGAACAAATTAAAGTGAATCACAAATTGTGGAGAAAAAGAATAATGAAGTATATGTTTTCGACAGCACTGTTGATAAGATATACTGTTGACAAATCATGCTACAAATAGCTAATCATTTGCTGATATCAATGATCAATTCCAAAAGGTTAACAATGTAACCCATATTAATCGTTTGTCACATTACTGATGCATCAGATCGCCTAATCTACATGAATAAGAATGTTGCGAACGTTTTACTAAATGTTCCTCCTATTGTCACGTTAAACAATGATCCATTTGGAATGAATTTTCCAGATGAAATCATATAAAGATTGAAAAAGGAAACCAACAGTGTTACAAAAAAGCGTTCATGATTCAGATTTATAACCTATTTAATACCCTTATTAAAAAAAAAAATAAAAAAGAATGGACAGAAAAAATAATAAGAAAAATAGATGAACGGAGAAGTATTTGAAAGGCAATTCTTTTAAAGTTATAAATCGCAAAATACATATTTGTTCGAAAATAATTAATTTGTTTTGTTTGCAACACAAAAAACTAACCATATTTTTTAATAAAAAACTCGACATTTATAGCACTTTTCCCATTAACATGTTTCACCCATTGCCGTCGACTTTTCCATTTAGCCGTTGCTTTGGTATATATTCTACAGGGTTGATTTTTGAGCATGAAATCAATAAAAACATCAAGCGCTCTTCTTCGTTCTAGGCGTATCATTGGAAATGATAAGTTGGAAGTGTCACACAATTGTCCTTCTATCATTGCCATCTTTATTTCTTACTAGTATCTGCAAATATTTGTTTAAATTTAAATTTAATTCTATCCCCTGTATACACTAATTTGAAATTGTGAACAACTAAAAATATATTCTTAGAAATGTTCACATTTTAAATCTCAATATTATTTGTTCCATCCAATCATATCCGTAATTTTAAGTTATGAATATTTTTTAAAATTACATTTCCAAATAATAAATTTACATTCCAATTTCAATTATTTATTCCACAATTTACATATTCATTTCAAAGCACAGAAAATGTTAGTGAAAACAGTGCTAATACTATGGAGATAATAGAGAATGATAAAAATCTATGATATAATGTATTTGCATTGATTGAGAAAACATGCAAATATATGACCTTCACGATATGAGCAGTGATTAAGAGTAAAAGAAAAGTTGCCATGTTTTGAAGAGAATGCAGTGATTAATGTTATTCTCGCAATAGCAGAAGACAAAATATCAAAGGAATATAATTGAAGAGTGATGAATTACAGTAATGAAGAGAAGGTGGGACAGCGAGTGAGAGTATGTAAATCTATAATCATAAAGTTACTTGATTAATAAATAATGACTAATAAATGGAGTTCCGGAAGTTGTGCCGGCGTAATAGTTTAAAAGAAAAAACCAAAAACTGATGTTAACTATAGGTCGCAATTCAAGTCGCTAAGAAAAAGCTAAGCTCATTTATAGCATATTATGCATACACAGTCGGTCCTTTTTTTTTGTTTTTTGATTTTGCCAATTAAATCGATTATGTTTTTAGGAAGTAATACGTGGGAGCGCATGTAAAGTTTCAGTGGGTTTAATGGATGTGAATCTGAATCTCGATGTTATCACTGGTTTGTTTCCATGTTTTTCATCCAATCTTGTCGCTGTTGCGAAATTTAAACCATTTTGGAAAATTTCTAAATAGATTACTTTGTAAAATCCATATTACCTTTCAGGTGTATAATTTATATTTCTCTTCTGTGATATCTGTCTAAGGAATGATTCATTCGTAGGTTTCTTTTGAAAAAAAAAAGGAAAGATTTATATTTGGGGTATTTTAATAGTGATTTTTATGGGTTCGAGTTTTTTTCACTCAAATTGGTGTATTTGCAATTATTCATTTGTGCTGGTCCACATATAATATGAATCTTTCAATGCTGCAAGCGGATAATGCAAAATTTTGGATTTTCGTTTCAGTTTCCATTGGTTTTACATGGTTTTGTTTGTATGAATTAAATTATATCCAAATTTTTAATTATCCCCAAATTTTAATTATTT